GCTAAAGAACACAACACTAATACAAGTTGCATTTCTTCATGCTGGTACAGGATATAATTTTCACACTATAAGAATATAATGCACAGCCCAATTTCAGTACCTTTATAATATTTCCTATTTAATTGCATAACAAAGCTCAAGGTCAGATTCCAGTTCTAAGTGGGTTATTTAGGAAACCTTTTTTAAAAAAAAAAATAAATAGAAAATACCTGTTATGAAGACACACAGAGCAAAGCAGCTGTAATCTGGGATTACACGAGCCCCAAAGGTTGCTGCCATGAGGGCAGGTTGCTACTCTTCAAAACTCACAGTTCCTTCACTTTCTTCCCTCCCCATAACCAGAGCTCGTCACACTTGTGTTCCTCTTGTGCCACCTTGAGGGAAAACAACTCTAGTGCATGGATAGAATATACTGAGTTTGCTGCTACCTAAAAATCCAAATACTCTGCTTTCAGATTGCATTTTTTCCCAGGTCCCTGGGCAGAACATCCTCCTCTCCCGGTCATAAAAGCAAAGAACAAAGTTTTGGGCCACGATTCCTTTCCATCTTGTCAATACACCTGATCAAAGCTGGGTAAGATCCTTAGGTCTGTCCCTAGGTGTGTCACCAGGAAGGAATGGGGAATTCAATTAAATCTCTTGGTTTCTGTTTGCACAGCCTCCACTGCTGAGGTTGGGAGACTCATCTGGTGGGGTGGCTCAGGCCAGATAAACTGAGCCCCACCATCCACATCTCCATCATGGAAACTGTCAAAAGGTCTTTTTTGTTTTGTACAGCTTCTCCCCTGGTTCTTGCTACTTTGTCTGCAGAGAGAGGTAACAAGAAGGAGAAAATAATGGGAAGAAGCAGGACTTACCTCTGTAGACTCAACTCTAGAGATGTCTTTTTTGTTTATCTTTATAAGACACAAAGTGGTGATGTAAATCCTTTTGCTATAGACAGACAACTGATGCTCACCTGACACCACCTCCAGACAAAAACGTAGCCTGTGTAGACAGTGTGCGGTGGGAGAATTAAACAACCCCCCTCCGTGAACAAATCCCTGTTACAGAGTGGGCAAAGAATAACTGTCAGTCTCCAAAGACTCTTCTATGGATTGTCTCAACCTCATAGGCATCTTCACTGCCCATGAATCTATGGAACAACTTCCTGAGGGGAACCAAAACCTATCTGCTCCACAAAGCTTAATAGAGCCCTGAAACAGGCATGTCAAAATTACAGCTTTTTTTATTCTCGTATTTAGAATTTCTCCAGACTGCCAACCTAAAGATGCATGCCGTGGTTTTAATGCAGACCTCTGATTCCTTGAAGATCTGTTAGAATGTTTTTCCTGTTGATTCTGGCTGCTGAGTTCATGGACACACCAACAGCACTTCAGTGTCATCTGCAGATGATGCCTTAGGTCACACAATATTTTTTCCACAACAACCATTAGCCAGTTACATCACAGAAACTATATTTGCTTGTGTTAACATGGAAACAAGTTGAAATCAAAACATAGTTTTGTGATGTTCACCAAATAGGTCCTTCTTTTGAAAGCCAAGGTACTTAGTCCACCTTATACTTCACATCAGGAGGTACAAGTTGTTTACAGACATTTCATAATCTCCCCATTCAAACAGGCCAGATGACCATTGCCATAAGTTCTAGTGATCCCAAGAATGACTTCACTGCCAGACTGAAGAGCTACCCTGACACCTAATGCTAGCTGGTCTTTTCTCAAAAACCACAGAACCTTTTCAGAGCAATGAAACCTACCACTGTTCCCACCTGGGTTGAATTTCAGGCAGTTTGTCTCTCTGTGACTTCTCTGTTACGGTTTCAGGGAAGAAGGGGAGCAATGCAGAAGGAGTCCTGCCTACCCCAGCTGAGCAGGTAGAGCAAGACTGGCATGGGTGGAGCTGGTGGGACCGTGAAGTCTTGTCTGCTCCTGGAAATGCAGTGCTCAGCAGCCCAGCCTCTCAGTGCCAGGCTCCACTTTCAGCTCTGGTATCCTGCAGTGGGCACCAGCCCAACGCTGGTCTCCAACTTGGTTTGCTTTTCCACCCTTTGAACAAGCCTTGGCCTCCTGCAAAGCTGTCTGAGCAGCTGCTTGTGCACTACAAACCACCTGAGCTGGCAGGTCAAACCCGCCCAGCAGTGAACAACAGCTCTGAATCAACACGGAAAATGATGGGTCAAGTAAAAGGCTCACCTTCTACTTGGGTCACCATCACTATCATCTGGACAGTACTGTCCATCAACTCTTGTTTGGGCTACCGAAATGAAGGCACCAAGAACTGACCCACAAAGGTGGCCCCCCAGGAAGGAGACACTGGTGGTGGATGTGTTTTGGGGTTGTCACCTCCCTTCCAGTGGACAAAATGACTTTTGTCTCCCCATGCCTATGTTTTCTGAGCTCTCCCAACTACTAAAATTTAAAAGATTTGTCCTTTTTTTTCATAATTTGAAGCCAAGCGTGCATCAAGAACACACAACTGAAACTAGACAGACTTGAAATACATACTGGTGACTTTTTTATTGAGCACCAAAGTGGCAGGACCTGTACATGTCTAAGCACCAGGGGCACAAACCAGGAAGGAGCTCCTGGGGCTGCCATGGATCTTCAGCTACTGCATGGCAGAGCAGCTCCACCGGCACCACCAGCAGCACTTGAGGATCCAGGAGGCTGTGAGGATTGCCAGCACACAGTGATACACGGGAAGTTTATTATAGCACCAAACATGCTTTAGAGTGTACATGGGAACATTAAAACCAACCTACGCTAGTGATTTCCTACTGAGCTTCACAAGACCACTGTTGTCAAGCCATTTGTCTTTGGAGAGAAGATAAGCTGAGGATAACTCATCTGGTCTGTGTTTTCTTTCCAACGTGTGATGGAAGTCACTGTTGAAAACACAGCATTTATACAAGTCTCTTCTGTGGCTTTTGTTTCAGAGTTTGACAATTAATAACTTGAAAATAATTAACTTTAAAAAAAAACCCCAAGCATTATAGCACCACAAGGAAGGGTGATGTCTTTGATAACACCCAGTAAACAGAAATTCATCAACAAATTATTAATTTGACAATTTTCTTTTCTAAAAATTCCTTTTATAAGTAGAAAATATCTTCACCATCCCATCCAGCAAAGTAGTCAGACATGTGGTTTTGTAGCTACAAAAATCAGCCACTGAAGTGAATGTGTCCACTCAGATTAAGCATATTTTTGGATGCTTTGCAAGATTAGGTTGAGATCTAAAATTTTAATCTTGCAAATTTTTTAATGCTCAAGACACGCTTTTCAACTGGATCCTCTGATGTTTTTGAGGCACTGAATTTTTTATTTTAAAATAGAGCAGTTTGGCATTTACTCTTTGGGATTTAGCAATAACCATTGAATGGCTTTGCTCATTTAATCAGAATTTGATTTTTCTCCAAAAAACAATGCTGAAAAAAATCAACCCGTGTCACTGAGCCACACCTAGGAGCAAGGCTGCATCAAGACTTAAGTTACGAGCTGTGTTGTCAAATAGTGTCAGTGGCAAAGCGACAAGTTTCTGGCCTACACTGAGGTTGGAACTATAAAATACAGCTGGACTCCTGTCTCTCAGGAGGAGTTAAGCTATGAAGCGGTATATGATAAAATTTTAGAAATAGAATATGATGTTGCATTTAATACCTAGAACTTGGAACAAAGGCAGAAAGAAGTGAATGGAGTTCAACCAATGAAGATATTTAGGAAAATTTGGAGCCTTTCATCTGTTCCTTTGCTCTGTAAAGCATCGAGGAGTGTGCCTGTTTATGAGAGGAAACAGCAGAGCAGCTTGGCATCTTTCATCTCTCCAGCTGCAAATGTCACATGCAAAGTATTAAGTTTTATAGGCGTCTTAGCTTTGGCTTAAAACATTTGGTGAGTGGAAGAAAATCCCATAGTCTGTGGGTGGAAGAAGGCACTTGTCATTGTGAATTGGGCATTCATATACACAGCTACTACTCTGCATATTAAAATGCTAATTTTATGCATGCAGATGGGGACACATACTAAACATGGCTTCTTTTGCCTAGCAATTCTGGCAGATTTGACAAAATGAAATGCAACTGTCCCTTTAGGACTGTCACAGGAAAGGAAATCATTCATAGAAAATGTGGTTTGCATTTTATAATGTTAAACAGCTAAAAGAAGCTGTAAGGCCCAAATACCAATAACTTGACTTTGAGGATTTATGGAAGTCAACATAAAAGTAAAGGACTTCTAAAGAGCAGGTGCTCATCTGCCAAACAATCCTTTTAATCACACAAATTCATCCTGCTTTTGCTTTTCTAATATGTGCAACAAATAATCCAGAGTTCAGCCCTCTTGCTGAGGTTTTGCAGGTACAAAATGCAGATGTACCTTTTGTGAGTATTAACTGTGATGACTAAAAGCAACAACTTAAGGAGACTGGCATGCATGTGTGTCTGCTTAGATATTATAGAAAGAAAACTATTCCATCATTAGCTCTCAATCTGCAGCTCACCAGACTGAGAAGATAAAGGAGAGTAACCTAAAAAATTTAAAAAAATATAAAACCTGTTTTTCTCCTAGCTCAGAGTTCCTCAAATTCTTAAGATGTCAGGTTTAGGCCTGTAGACTGGGTGTCAAACCTGGTGAGCCCTAGGTATAAATAGGAAAAGAAGAAATCTGCAGGTTTCTTTGAACTTTAAGCTTATGAAAAGGCTTATTTAAAGTAGTTGTTGGAGATAGGCAGGTGCTGGATTTGATCCACAAGGCCCCTTTAGTCTTACATTCTTGCCTATTTTAATGCAACGTAGATATGATATTTAGGTACAATTCTGACGTCACTTCATTTTTATGATATTATGTTCATGGCTGTGAAATCTGATTTGGTCACTTAAAATGCACATAAAAGGCAGGCTCTGTTCCAGCAGCCTGATAATGGTGCTGTGGCTCATAGGGATCTCCTCAGAGGTATTTTCATTCATTGGCAGAAGGACAGCTGATAAATGGGGTGGTTTCTTTCAGGGAATCACATTTCTCCCCCTGCTGATAGGCTTAAAATCTAGACCCATCCTTTTTCTTGAACAACAAAGTCTTTTTATCACTGGTGGGCAGGGATCAGGGTAATGCTGGAGACGTGCTCGTGCAGATCTGGGACCAGAATTCTTCCAAAGCAGAAAACTGTTGGGTAAAGCATTCCTTGATAGCTGCTTAACAGAGTGGTCCAGCTGGGTGAAAATCAAACAAAAAAAAACAAAAGGAATTAAAATATTTATTTTCCTGGGATGTTTGCACAGAACTTGTCCTTATGTAGCTGTGTAATCTTAACAGTCAGCCTGACGTAGGTACATAAAAAACACACTGAACTGCTTTGTTTTCATAACTGCCAGTTAAGCTCAAATTAGTTTTAAAGTGAAGCTGAAAGTGTTGAGAAAACTATCTTGGGACAGAACCTTTGGTATAATAAATATTTTAATTCTTGCCTAATTCAAAGCCTGATAAAAAGATCGGAGCTTTTTCAGTTGGCTTCACTCTGGCCAGATATGAATATGTTTACTCACATGAGTGGGTCACTGTTCACACACATAAAGTTACCCCATAAAATCATCCATATGCCTCAGTGTTTACAAGACTGACTCTTACTGCAATCAATCCAGAATAAAGAGCTTTTTAATTCATCTTGCAGGAGCAGTTATACCTGCATGAGAAGAAGCCCCCTAAACAGAAAGTTTAAAATCTTAAGGCTCATAAAGTTTTGCAGCATTTATTTTCTCATCCTGAAAGTCACTCCATCCTCTAAACACCCACAAGGCGAAGGTTCTTCAAAGAAATCAGGTGCATCGTGTGAAATTAGAATAAAAAGTGGGAGGGGTAGAGTGGGAGTTGGGAAAGGTATTAACTTCTTCAGGGACAGTTTGCAGAGCTCAATGTCCAAAGCCACAGATTCTCAGGATACTTTTACAGCACCATCTATTTCTCAGCAGAGGTGTTTTAGCTCAATTCATGAAGTCTGAGGTATGCACCTCTACATAGTTTTAAGGTGCTGTCCTTATGCTGGTGTAAAAGAGGTAACTTCACCCTCCACCAACCATTTCTTCAAATAATTGCATACTAAGCACCATTTTTACCCAGCTTCCCCTTTATTCACAGGATGCTTACCCAGGCACACCTTTGATTAGCCTAAATGCTTCTGCTGGTTTTTCACGTAGCCCACCACATTGTTGGAATTGCTTCCTGTAAAACAAATATCAGCACAGTTAGATTTTAAGTTAGTCTGTGGCAAATGTTTTCTCAAGATTCTCCAAGCAGTACAGTTTTATTAGTTTCCTTATGTAGCAGTTCTCTGGGAGAGCTGCAATAGCCCACTGGACAGAGGAAAGGAAATCCTTCCATAGTTCTATCAGCTAAACTGGCCAAATTTGGCTGTTTGTAAATCTTATAAAATCAAAGATATTGTCTAGTTATATCTGAATAACACTTCCAATCTGATCTGACTGTCCCCCTCTAGATCCAAGAGTTAGAGAAAGCAGGAGCTTTGAAGCCATGAGAAAAGAGATCTGGAAGATTCTCCTGTTTTCTTTGAGACACAGTTCTATCACTTTGTGCAAGGGACCTGACACTTCTTGTGGTTGCAGATGACAACAAGGGCTTGATTCATTGGGCTCCAGTCATCTCTTATCACATACCACGATACAAGCTCTTGGCAAAAGACTCTGCTTTTGACAGAGTTCTGTGTTCATCTGCAAGGAGTCCTGGGCCATGAGCAAAGCTCCAAAGATATCCTTAAAAATAACAAAAGGATATTGAATTGGGTGTTTTTCACCCATTGGGTGGGAAACCCTGGCAGAAGGCTGTGTCACAGCTGGAGATACTGATTCCCAAGAATCAATAGTCAGGGCATTGAAGATCTTAAAATAAGACCTTTTGAGCAAGTCATGGAGAGTTGAGGCCAAAGAATCTCTTTCTGCTGTGCAACTTCATTTCATAAGCAGCAAATTCCTTGTAAGCAATGCAATAACTATAAATCTTAATAACAGCAAACACTTCATGCCAGCAGCTTACCAAAATATTCCTTGTAATACTTGTGCCTCAGGTTGCGTCCATCTGAAAAAGAAGGTACATAATGAGAACGTATCCAGTCAGCCTTCGTTATTTGTGTTAAACTCCAGCCTTCTGTCTACAGCACAGCTAAATTAGAGACATGGAAATAATAACCTCACAGATAGGAAATTGGAAGAGTGTAGTGGAAGTAGCATAAGGCTGATATAAACCTCTTAGAAGACTGTTTAGATTATTCAACTATGAGGACACAACTCACTTGCCCTGAGAGTGGTTAACTGCTGGCCACTAGCATGTTATATTCTTTTCAGTAGCTACGAGTGAAGGAATCACAGACTTTCTTAAATGAAAGAAAATTTGCATAGAATTTAAGATTATCTATTAGTGTGCTACATAATTCAAGTTCCAGCTAGGCTTTTCTGTTTACCATTATTAAAGCTCTTAGAAATACCCTGTGTCTAAGAGCCGTGTAGCTACAGATTACATTTGTTACTACGGACATTATTAAAGAAAAAGATATAAAATAATACAAGAAATAGCCAAACAATTAGAAATGGAAAAATTCTTAGTCTTTTATGGAAGCAGTTCAGAGATCTGGTTTGATGCTTCCTCTGGCTTTTACAGTGACCAAATGGCAAAACTGGTATCTCATGTCCTTACACTGAGATGATTTGTAGTCCAGTGCAGACAGACATATCCTACTATTCAATGAAGTTACACATACCCAGATGTGTTTTGAGCTTTCCTAGAAAATAGCTTGGCCTATATAAGTTGTGTTATTGGGCAAATGTGTCAGTAGAATATAAAGAACAACATTCTGGATGCAGAAAACAAGGTTAGAAGTCAGAACTGGAATTTGAAACTTCTTAGTGAAGTGTGTAGTAATATATAAATATTTCTATTTATTCTGCTGTGTAATAATGGCACGTGCAGGTTACTACCTGCTCTGCTTACACCATCCCAGAGGACACTGGCATCCAGCACACAAGTGTGTCCCCTTACTTGGGTATTTCACATAGCTCAGCCAACATCAAGGACAGTAAAGACCTGAGATTGCTGGAGAGTGGGGACTGTGTCTCAGCTCAGCTGTCACGTACTGCCTTGGGTTGCTCAGGAAGCCCATGAAGACACATATACCACCAGATGTCCTTCAAAGCCTGTGAGAGTGCACCGTCCATTACACGTTTGCATGACAGAACAGGTAAGGAAGGGAGATTTCCAGTCCACTGACCTGGATTTCCACGCAGCTTGATGCACTGGCCCCTGTTAGGGATTCCTTCAGCTGTGTTGCCTGGGTTGATGATGTGGCATTCATAGCCTGTGGGGCAATGCAGAGGCTCATCTCCATCCTCAGTGGTACTGCAGGCCTCAGCTGCAAAAGAAGACCACAGGTCATAAATCATGGCTTTGATACCCACAGGTAACCAAAATATGCCAACATGGCCAACTTCTTCTACATCTCCTCCCAGATAGGATCTCAGACTACTTCCCATGCAGGGGTACCAAGGAGCTAACACCTCCAAAGAAGCCTGGCAGAGCAAGTGATCCAGTTCACACCTTACACAAAAACCTGACGTGTCTAACCCGATACGGGGAGTTCAGGTCATCCCAATTACCTGTACCAACACCCTCCCCACAGCCTGTTGTGCATGGTCTGTGCAAGGGCTGGAGAGTGGTGAAGACAGACCACCAGTGCCCAGCATGCTCACAACTGATGGGTGGTCCCTCCAGTCCCTCCACGTGGCTTTTTCCCTCCAAGCAGCCATATGTCTGTTCCAGCCAGTGTTTCAGGCTGGGTGAGGAATCAGGGAAACGTGACCAGGAAGGTGGCAGTTTGCTGCTTTGTTCTTTGCTCCACACCCATTAACTTACTGATGGATTCAAACCTCAGATGTGACTCACTCTGGAGTAAGTCAGTACCACCCTCTGTTACACATGGAGGCTTTAACCACCTTGATCCTGGAGACCCAGCAAGTGCAGAGCAGAATAAGGAAGTAAAGCAGTTTGTGTCCATTAAATGTACAGACTATGTAGGGACACTCCGCTCTTTCATTTGCCAGGATTTTAATTTCATAGACCTCTGCTGTAATTTTCATGCCATGACTGATGGTTCTTACTTCACTAATTACTCCCTCAAGCTGAGATGAAGGTGTTAAGATAAGAACAAATAATATAAGCATGACAGGGATGGATGAGGAGGAACCTATTTTATCTTATTTCTAGCAGTGCAACTCCAACGAGCTGGAGGCAGAATTTTCTCTTGAAGAACTAGGAGTTTCCATAATAGATGAGAGTCAAGGTCTGGTGATACCATCTGTGTGAGACCAAAGAGGATAATTTATTGGCACTACCTGTGTCTGACTAAAGCTGATCAAAAGTTGGAATAGCCTTTCCATGAAGAAATTAAGAACTTGAGGCACACGTACATCTGGGGATGTCTCATAGAAGAAAACTTCTCTTCCTTCCTTCCTACTCCCTCCTTGTTTCACTTTGAGGTATTGGAAAAAAATAATTAAAAAAACCCCTTTCTCTGTGGAATTAAACTGAGAAGCCCAATCTCATTAGCAGTCTCCAAGCTTAGATGCTCCCAGCTCCATGTCAGCTTGACACAACTCTGCAGCAGTTTGCCAGGGCTCTCGTTCAAAGCAGCCTTCAGAATCAGGAGCCAGAGCCCCAGCCCAAGGCATCTGTGGTACGAGGCCACTCTGGATTAAAAGATCTCTTAATCCAAGTCTGCTCACAGTCTATTAGGCAGCTGGCAGAAAATCTCTGTAGGTTGGCAAAGCCTTTCTCTAAAAAAATGTGTATTTCTACTTATTTCAAGAATGGATACTAATGTAGCTTGCTGGAGCGAATGCACAACACAGCATTATTCCTACAGAAACTCCAGACAAATACCAGCAGCCCCAGCATTCCAACAAACCTGGCAAGCCCTGTGTATGATGAATATATTATTTATTGCTTTTGCATAATTACCAGTATCGCAGAGAAGAGAGTGAAATGTACTGTACCTTGTAAGACTTCCTCTGGACCATCCAAAAGCCACCCATTTCCTCCCAGCCAGCGGGGTTTGGGTTGAACCAACCAGTCTAAAACTGTAAAAGTCAGAAACAAGAAACCCCAGAGTCAAGGTGGAGAAGCCACAGGGCACCAGTTATGGAAAAGTCACAGATTTCCTCTAACAGCCAGTGGCGAGGCTGCCAGGCTGCTGAAGGATTGATTTGAGATTTCAGCAAGATACTTGTGTTCATAGAATCATAGAACAGAATCACAGAATGGTTTGGGTTGGAAAGGACCTTAAAGCTCATCCAGTTCCAACCCCCCTGCCATCAGCAGGGACACCTTCCACTAGACCAGGTTGCTCAAAGCCTCATCCAACCTGGCCTTCAACACTTTCAGGGAGGAGCAGCCACAGCTTCTCTGGCCAACCTGTTCCAGTGTCTCACCACCCTCACAGTGAAGAATTTCTTCCTAATATCTAATCTAAACCTCTCCTCTTCCAGTTTAAAGCCATCTCCCCTTGTTCTATAACTCCCTGCCCTTGTAAAAACTCCTTCCCCAGGTTTCTTGTAGGCCCCAATATTCTTGTTGTCCCAGTAGTGAGAGAGCTATGGATGTTATGCAGGGCCCCAGGAACCTGGTGTCATAAAGGCCAAAGCAGCTGTTGTTTCCCATCCTCCAGTCTCATGGCATGGATCAGATGAGATGGCTGCCTGGCTTCTGTGAGCACTAATTCAGATTGGGATGACTTCTCTTCCTGAATATATAATCCCAGGAAAAGAACTGTCCTCAAATGATTTCTACCATTTGTGCTGGTGGAAATTTTGTACCATCAGCTCGACTTAGAGAGTTTCTTGATTCAGCAATCATCCCAGAAATCAGAGGTTTGGAACTGAAGCTTTATCCTCGACTCACACTCAAACTGTGCCTCCCACCCAAGACCTGATGCTCATGGGGATGACTACCATCATTCCTGCATTCTTCTCTCTACCAGTTTGATCACAGGGCCCACTCTACCTGGTGGTGGCTGTACAGACTCCAGACAGGCATAGATGCACCCGTTGTAGCAGCAGCGCTTGTGCCTTTCACACTCTGAATCCGACCGGCAGCTGGGCACCTCGCAGGCTCGGTCAGGCAAAGTCTGGGGTGGTGGGGGGCAGCGGTCGTTCTTCTGGTAGTGGGAACTGTGAGAATGAAGAGGGTACTCATAATCCTTGTAAAGAAAAGAAAAGGAAACAAAGGTTTGGCATAAGGTGAATACCAAACATCCCATCAGTTGAAAGAGAAGAGGGGTTTTCAAGGTGGTTTTCAAGTATTCATTACAGAGCAGAATTCACTGTTCAGCTCCCCCAGCCCTGTCTTCAGCACACTGAGGAGAGAGCACCTCAGCTGACTGCTTTGGAAACACCAAACCATCAAATTATTGTGTGGGATTCATTTTGTAATTAAGGTTATTGTAATGACAATGAAGAGGTGAAAAAAAAATCCTTTAAAGTATTTTATGCTTGTCTGGGAAACAGAGAGAAAGGCTCCAGGCATCCTCATGACAAGCACACCAAAACACTTTGATAGTAAAGCAGTGAAAATGATGACACTGTATTGTTTTGATGTTACATCCCCAAATGGGACCTGGAACTAATGTCCCAGGTAGCACCTGTCTACTCAATAGGCTCCTTCTACCTTCATCATCTTCTTCTGGACCAGAACTTGTAGAGGACTGGTACAAAATCTTTCAAGCTTATCCACTGTGAGGTCCTGGGTTGTTAAATTAGAGTCTATTTCTAAACCATGAGATAATCTGGGTGAGATCTGTGTGGGTGATGTCAGTTTAATCCCAAAGAAAATGAGGCTGTGTTTGACTATAGCAGAGAGCAGCCCAGCTGCTCATTGCACACCAAAAGGACAAGGGAGATTTAAAGTGGATTAACAGGTACAGGAGTTTACCAGAAACATTTACAAGAGGCAGCATTCAGATATTATTCACGCTGGTGGCAATTTAGCAAGAAGCCAACTCCCTCCAACAGAGAGGTGAATCACTCAAGCCCACTCCTTTCTCACCTATGGTTAACTACTCATCTGTGGGCTTCAGCTCAGCTCCCCAGAGCAGCATAAAGTACTCAGAAAGAGCAATCAAGTTCTCAGTTTTATTAAGAACCATTAATATACTCTAATCAAATCAAAAGATGGATTCTGGATTTGCACTTCTAAAAGAGATCAGCATCTAGCCAGAGGTATGAAGCAAGTGCTGCCATGCACTCACTAGGAGGCTGTTGAGTTTGAGTCCTATATAGACTTGGCCCGATCACTGTTGTGTTATGAAATCAATGCCGAAATACTGGGGTTGTTATTCCAAGAAACAACGTGGTGCAACTGTCCCTGAGGGGCTCTCTAGGAAATTTCACCATCAGGCTATGGAGAAATTTGAGGTGAGACTAATATCCCTCTTTATCTACATGCTTCTACAACCTCATTGTTGAAAAGCTTCCGTGGAGCATGTGTGCCTTGTGAAACAGCATGTCCTCACATGTACTGTCCAAAAAAATGTCCTAGGAGAGGCCCTAGGAGGTCCATTGCCCTGGGGACTGATTGCCGGCCCATATGGCCTCTGCTGCTACGTGTGACCAAGCAGCAGTCAATTAACAGTGAAAACAATATCATCTTCACTCCCTTGGGATAATTTGTAATGTAGAGAATGAAGGCGATCCCAAGGGACACCAAAAGAAATAATAATGCACATTGTTTGTGGTAATGATGTGACAAATTTCACTTCTATATTGTAGATAGCGTAGAATGGTATTGGCAAGGTGGTAGTTCTCACACCAAAGCTGGCCTCCCTTCTTTGAGCCATAGGTAGGGGGAAACAGAGAACAGAAAAGTCTCTCTGCTGCTTGGTTGTGCAGAGTGTTAGCCAGAAGTATAGAGAAAAGTTATTAATTTCTGTCACAAGTTGTACATTAAAGAAAATCCATATCCTGGTTATATCTATGGCTGGTTAATAGAATATGTGTGTGTGTCTGTGTGTGAGAGACAGAGAATTCCTAATATTTCCACAAATAACAGCCTCCTGCCCTGTTCCCAATATCAATAAACAATTTACTTCTGCTTTTTCCTTAGTTGTTTCCATTCAGTGAACAAGGAACTGCTCAAAAACCCTTCCAGGAGGTTGTTTTCCCATGAACTGACAGGCTGTTTGAACCACAAAATAGGTTTGAAAAAATATATTTCCTAATTTTGATGATGTTTTCAATGTTAAAGTGTAAAGCAAGGTGGAAGCTATCGCATCATCCCACTCCTCACAAGCTAATTTTGATGATGTTTTCAATGTTAAAGTGTGAAAAACAATGAAAACACTCCACCTTTAAAATAACATTCTGAACTGAAGATCTTGCAAGTTCAACTTTTTTTGCTGTTGCTGGATTTTAAATAGAGAAAATGCTTAGACCAAGTATAATTTGGGGATATAAAATAGCATTTAAGGGTAAAGCTATGCAGTTCCAAACACCAAACAGGTCTCCTTGTTGGAGGGAACACTCATCCTGGAAGGTCACAGTTTACTATTCTATTATTTGAAATGTCAACTGCATCAGACTAAAATAATACTGGCAAATATTGGATACATTAAAAAAAAACCCAACCCACAAAAACCAGCACACCAAACAATTACTGCAGTTGCTTCACAGATGATTCAGAAACTAAGAAGCCAAAATTGCAATGAACAGTTGGCTTAATGAATGAGATTTCCGTTTGGGAACAATATCATATTTTTAGCCAAATAACTTTGTACCTCATGACCTCCCTGCCCATTTTTTTTGTTCATTTATTGCTCTGAACCCCTTTCTTTCAAAACCTCATGGTCAAAAATATATTTTTTGTGCATTTGATCTAATAAAACCATTGCTACTGGTTTACATGCGCATAAACCAGCCCAGTGGGAAACAGGATTCCCTCATTTCCAAACCAGCCTGGTTAAGGATGTCTCCAAGTATGGGTCACAAGGTCTTTTTAAAAGCTCTCCCAGGATTCACAGTTTGGTTCTAAGCATTGCTCAGATTTATTATTTTTACAGATCATTACAACAGTCAAAATCTTTTTCTTTAGGAATATTTTTCAATGCAGGAGGCAAATTGCTTTTTCCCCATGGAGACTCATTAAATCATTTTAATGACAATATCTGCCTTAGAGATATACAGAAACAAAGTAAGGGGGAAAATGCAGAGTTCAACTGAGGAACCCTGGAGGTCAGTAAAGATGACTCGGAAAAACCTGAATGCAGTCACTCATTCTCAACCCATAATTTCAACAGTAACTGTGGGATGCAGTCTGCCTCCAAAAAATCCCACAGCTGTTATATTATTTGTGCCTGAAACTGGACCCTGGGCTTATGTCAAAGCACAATTCTCTGCTAATTCCTATTCTGCGTGGCCACCCCCAAGACCACACGTGAGGTTTATTCCCAGCCTCTGGTCACTATTCTGCCCCTGGTAGGTATTTCCAGACACTGGCTATAAACCACCTTTTCTCTGAAACAATAGGAGGAATTTAAAGCCCTCCAACCTTTCTGTAAAAGTCCTGGAAAAACACATCATCAACTGATCAAAGTTGCAAATATTGGACTGAAGGAGGGTTAAATAATCTGAAGGACAAGACCAAAACAATAGGAATAATATTCTCCTGCTATTTACTCTGGATTAAGAGTTTTGGTTCTGGTGTCTGCAGTACTGGAAGATTATGGCAAAATTTGAGTGGGCTCAAAGAAGAAGTGCAACAGCAATTAGAGGACTGGAAGGCAGGGAATAGACTGCAAGACTTATACATGCATATGCAGGTTTCAAAGGGGGGGCTGAAGGCTGCTCTGTTAATATGTTACTCTGAGGCACACGCAGGACAGAACTCTCATGGGAGATGTGCTAATCTGGAGACCAAGAGGGTATCTCAGTGTTGATATATGACAGCTAGCTAGGGAGTCAATAAATCATCGGAAGAACAGCACAGCAGCTGCGAGGAATTCTTCACTTCTGGAAATTTTCAAAAGGCATCTGGATTATTTTCTAAAATGCTTGATGCAGTTGACACTGGAATAAAACCAAGAATGTCCCAAGTTTTTCCAGTAGACAAGTGGGTGTCTTGATAATGAACTGAAGAGCACCTCCAGGTAGTTCCCTCCGTCCGCCCTTTGGGAACAGTCCACAGGCTGTGCAGGGGCTGCAGAACACCAGCTGCAGGTCACTAAACTTGACAAATGTCCCTCTGGCTGTAAAATACATGGATTTGCTAAAAGCTTGAAGCCCAGCTCCTCCATCCCACTGTGACTGCCAGTTTTTACTTCTCACTCCATTCCCTCTCCTCTTTCTCCATTCTCTGTTCCCACTTGACTCCTCCTTGCCAACCAACACCCTTCCTCAGAGTCCTTAATGAAAAACTCCTGGCCAGACCTCGAGCCAACTTCTCAGCCTAACACCTGCTCAGCATTCTGCAGCCAGCAGTTTGGTGGATGCATTGCTCTTACTGTGGACTCATATTTTTTGGACCCAGACAACATCACCTCCCTACTCCCTCCACCTCTTCCCCCTACAGAGCTTGCCTGTGTCCTTCTGGGGGTCTCAAGAGGATGTCTATGGCCCATCTCCTGTATAGCTGCATGTTGCTGTGAGCACCTCCATCTGTTACTCCTCTATCTAAGTGACTCACAAATCAGCTGTTCCACCCACAGCCTCTGATTTTTAAACTCTAGGGAACATACAGCATTTGGTAGAAAAGAAAGGATCTCTCTGAGAAACAAGGGGAGCTGCCAAAAGAGACTCTTGGTGGATAAGAGGATGGAGAGCAGATGTCTTCCTCCTTACAAGGCTTTGAGGAGAAGGAAAAAGAAAAGCATTTTCTATTTTCCTTAGATAAGATGTTTCTGTCAATATGAACAATTCTGGCTGAGCTTGCCAGATCAGTAGCACCTGGATTCATGGCTGCCAGAAAAACCAGACCTTTGAAGAACTGCAGATTGAAAGAGGATGATATATCCTCAGGGGAGTGGGCTCTGTGCCTCTACAGAGCACATTATCTGAAGATCAACATGTACATTCTTGTTCTACTCCTGTCCTGTCTCTCTGGGTCATTTATTTCATAGCTCTTCTTGAATTTGAACTTTGCACTGAAATATGACAGAAGAACATACTAATAAATACTCTTGCCAGCGAGTGATTTTGCAGGAAACACAGCTCTTTACATCACCATTTTGCAATTAAAGCGCAAACCGGATGATACCCTGTCCCAAGGGAGGCTACAATGAGGAAAATTTCCTGTTGTAAAATGTCAAAACCATATTTCACTTCATTCAACATGGGTAAAAGATGTGTGTCACACTGCTGAGTCAGCGATCGCGCAAACCAAATGTAGCTGTCCCCAAACATCACTCTAGATGTCATGGGCAAAAACCCCATCCATTTTAAATTAAAAGCTGCAGAAAACAGGTGAGGAATCTCTTTGTGACAACAAGGAGCTGTTTATGTGCATACAATATCTGGAAGATGCAATCAAACCCAAGCATGAGAAGACTGGCTAGGGCTTCCACCTAAGCAACTCAAGAGGCAGAAGCCTTGAGTCAGTGCTGGCTTCTAAGGACACTTTAATGGAGCAAGTGAAAATTTCAAATTCAAATATATTTTTCTTTCTAAACAGCATGTCCTGAAAGTCAAGCTAGCAAAATATTTTCCATTATACTTTTTAAAATTTCCTCCATGGCCATCTCTAACAGTCTTTTGGCCCAGACACACCAGAACAAGACCCAGCACTGTCCTTTTCTCCACTCACAGTAAATTGTTGCTGCCTCAGTTTCAACTCCAGCACTGCTCTAAGTACCACTGCAGATTTGGCAATGGCTCTTTTGCCCCCAAACACACTGGGCAGGCACAGCAAGTGCTCCAGCACTCCCTGGGCACACAGGGGACACTGCAGCCTCCACAATTCCATGCTGTTCTCTTGCTCAGCAAGTCTCCTGCTCTTCCCTGGTGTGTCCTTACTTGTGATGGCTTGAGGATAAGAAGGTGGCTTAATGTGACATCAACACATTACTCTGATATGGTGGATCTGGAGGTCCCTGTGCTCCAGTGATTTACAAAACCCTAGGCAGTGCCACCATCCCTCTAGTACACACTGTCACTAGGAGCTGGAAACATTTACCCAAAGTTATCCCAAAAGGCAGTGGAGGAACTGGGCAGGGAACCCTCCTCCCTGCTCTAAGCAATGAATAACATTATCTTCTTTTCACTAAATCTATCCCCAGACGTGTAGGTTTTTCATTCCCCTTCTCCCCATTCACGCTTCCCTATGAAGTTTCTAGGGAAAGCAGGGCCGGCTGCCGTACCAACATCTCCTCACTGTTCCAACTGTGCCTTACAATCTTCCCATCGCAGCAGCTAGGTGGCAAAAGTTCAGTTCAGCCTGGGAAACTATGCAACCCTTTTCTAAAGAGACAGCCTGCGGATTCAAATACTCCTTATTCTGAAATGATTCACGCACGTAAAGAAAACTCCCCTTTCACAGCGAGCACACCCAGCTCCCCCCAAATCACCCCACTGCACTCTACTCACATCATATTTCTCCGTCATTTTCAGATGTAGAGCACGCTTCCAGAGATGCCTTGCACAGCCCGAATCTGGCAGCAAAACTAAGACACACAAGGTTGCAGCGAAGATCTTTTTACAGAAATGCATCTCTGACAGCCCCCTGGAATCCATCTTCCCAAGGAGAAATCAAATAAAGAGCTCAGCTTTTGGGATCCAAACGATTGAGAGTCTTGGCAAGGAGGGAGGGAGATGGGGAGGGAGGGAGAGCGAGGGCTGATCGCTGGTGAGAGCCGCTTTTCCCTGCGCAGCTTCTGGGAAGGGAAAGGGGAAAAGAAAAAAAAAAAAAAGAAGAAGAAAAAAAAAAAGGAGCCCAGAAGCAGAAGCCAGGAGCTGCTGAGCTGCTGTTGAACTTCTTTACTCAAAGTTAGATCAGGTTCTCGGCTCACATGTTCGCACAAAGCACGCGCTCTTCTTGAATGATAGATGGGAAGATTACTTGGAAAGATTATTTTTAGACCTTTGTTCCCAACATCTGGCATCCTCAGAGAGCCCCATTCAAAGCCAAAGCGTGGGATCAGATGACAGCTGCCGCAGGGGGAAAGAAAGGTCTTGGAGGGGTGGGCTCGGTAGCTTCTAGCAAACTCACCCAAACTTGCCAAGCTACTCGGCTCTCCCTTTTGTGAGTTTCCCACTGTGCCCCCAGCTGTGGTTTTGGATTGTGTTTTGACCAAGTGATAACTCCATCTGAAGATTGCTTGAAGGAAATGATTTAAAGACATGATAAATATGCAGGGACTTTAATTAAACCAAGTGGATGTTAGCTTTCTGCAAATGATTTCAAAGAAGGGGAAGACGTGGCCATTGGGGAAAAATAAACCCAGGTGCATGGGTGGGGAATAGGGAAGGAAGGCGATTTAGAAATGACATGACCAAATGGAAAGCAAGGAAGGGGACGTGAGTCAGACTGTGCCTGACAATGGGAGAGACGGAGAGACTGGACGTGGGGTGTTAGACATCTACATGGACATTGGGTGCCTGAGGAACAAGAATAGACTGATGAAATCAGGCTGAAAGCATCCCAGCATCCTGCCTGGGACAGAGATAGAGGCAGGTGCCAAAAGAAAAGTATGAGAACAGGGCATCTGTTACACAGGCATGAGTATAGATCCAGATATATGCACGCAGATACTTTCACAGCCTTCAGTCATGTTGTTCAGAACTTCCTCAGCCAAATGCAGGGGCTGTTTATTTTATAAATCTCTATTAATTTCTCCTCTAGCAGCTTGTCCAGCCTCCACCTGCAGTGAAGGAAGAAATGGAACCACAAAGCTAGTTGAGATACAAGCTCCAAGCCCTGCTTGCCTTCGGTTTACTGCAGCCCTACTCTATAGCCAAGGCAGAGCAGAGTAGAGGCTTGCTGGGTGGATTGAATTTAATTTATATCTGCTGTAAAATGGCTCTGCACAGGAGTGTTAGACTCTGTGGACAAATAAAAAAACCCCAAACCTTCCAGTTCTTCCTTATACCTGAAAGCTGTGGCAAGTCACTTTGATCCATGCCTCAGTGTCAATAGCTACATGTAGATGGTAGCCAAAGAATTTAATCTCCAAGCTTGCCAGTTTATGCTGATGGGAATCTGAAGAACAAGTGAGGTGGGGGTTTTAAAAGCTCTTTATTTAACAGGATATATTTCATTTATTTAGAGATAAGGGGTTTACAAAGTTTCACAGTAAATGTGCTTTGGGACAGTCCTGTCCATATCTCTACTGCTGTAGAAAGCTTCTTTGCAACAATAAAAAATCCTGTTCAGTTCATTCCAGGGAATTTAGTTGGTAAGAAAAGCCAAACAGGGACTGCTGTCATGGGAGGAAAAAAGAGAAAGAAAGGTGGGGAAAGAGAAGGAAGAGTTAAACTGGGGAGAGTTATCTCCCTCAGAGCTGCAGCAATATAAGGAGATCCTCCTGGGACTGGCAGAACAAGCTGCCATCTCTCTGCGTGGAGTCTATGGACTCCCAAAGGAGCTCTGATGGCAAGTGTCTCAGAGGGATCTCCGTGGAGATGCAATGACCATATATTGCTCTGTTTGTATGATCTCCATCACTGTTTGATCCATAGTTTGCTCCTGTAATAACATGACAGTCACTTCCTAAGGCATGAGCAGGGTTTTGGGGGCTGACAGGATTTGGGGGGACCCAATGGCACAGTTGTTTTAGGCATGGATGTGGACAAAGAAGATGCATTTGGGCTGGAGAGCCTTTCATGGCAGAGGCTTTGTCACGCTCCACCAGGCTGCTGAGAAGACTGTCCCAACAGAAACCATGGCTCCAGGTTCCTCTCACCTGCTTTGCACCATCCTGTTGGTTCTCCTTTCTCTGTAGTGACCCATTTAAAACAGTATTTATCCCTTTAAACAGTTAATTTCCCTGAGGCTGTCTTCTCTTCTGCATTTAATAAGGACAACTGTGGACAACTCCTGTCCACAGCTCAGTCTGGCTATGCAAGGTGAGTTCTTAAGGACTGAAGTGTTACCTTCAGGCAGAGCTCAGCACCTACAGGTCACTGTCACCTCCACCCAAATCTCACCCAAATGTCATCTGAAATCAGCAGCTGTGCTGGTGTTAGTGAAAGGCCTCCTCAGACATCTTCAGTGCATCTGGAGCAGAACGCATCACTACCACAAGACTTCAACTTGTGGCTTTATTTTGTATTGCTCAGAGTGCTTTGTCTGACACAACAGGATGCCTTCGATTCCTTTTAAAAACAAACCTCCCCTGTTTGTTGCGATATTAATATCTGCAACTTGACAAAGCACCTTTTGGGCACAACCAGGAGTTCCCGCCAATGTCCTGACTCCTGTGTTGCACGGTGACAAATGACATGGCTGGCTGCACAGAATAAACAAGATCTTTTTCTTAGCATATTCCTACTCTAAGGAAGTGGAGCAACTAATTCTAAAGATTAATAGTTACTTCAGACACCATTTACTGGCCTTTCTTTTGGCAGATATACAGCTTTGACATTTACCTGGGAGAAACGAGGGTCTGTGCATTACAGTTCACGGATTGTATACCAAAGAAGTGAGAATTCTCCTGTAGGACCAAATTTCCACAGCTGGTCATGGTCTCCACATCAAAATGAATGTTGCTGTTCTAACACTTAAGCCTCCTGGATGCAATCATTTCACCCTAACTTCCCAAAGTACTGCATGTAATGCCTGGACTGGATTATCCCTACTATCAGATGGGGAAACTGAGGCACGAGGAGGGTGTGATTTGCTGAAATTAGACCTTCTATCTGCACAATCAAACTGCTGCAGTTATAACAGTGCAGCCTAAGCCAGGGCTCTGTGCTTCAATGTTCTATACTCAAATCCAATTGAGAATTCTTCAGGAGACCCATTTCCAGTCTGTCTTTGAAACTAGGCAATTCCACTAGGGATTTTACATTTTTTATAGGATTAAGAAAAACTGCTTTACCTGGCAACATTGGAAACAACACATTTCTTGCCTTTTCTGGATAATCTCCTTCCTGGTGGTCCCTGGCATGGATGGATCATCACAGGAGAACTGCAGGACAACTTTAGCCCATTTCATATCCACATTGTCCTCCCATTTGGAGCCCAGTACACACCTAAACCAAGAAAGACTTTAGTCCACTCAGTTACGTAGGCTCCTCGCTCCTGCTGCAGAGCAGTTCATGTCTTATGAAGTTCACTTTTAAATGGCCCATTCAGAAAAAAAAAGGCGGGGGGGGGGGGAAGAAGCAACTTTGACTTTCTGAAGAATTTCTTGTTTAACAAAGCAGTTCTTGGCAGGTTTATGGCTCCAACTATTAGTATAAAACATTCTTAGCAGCTTATGAAGTAATTACAGGAATCAGACACAAATCAGGCACAAATCCGTAGCAAAGAGCCGTTGGCAATAATTAGCAATTTAAAATTTAATGCCAAGCAGATTTCTGAGTTGTGTTGCTTTAAATTCCAGGTAAGTTTTTAAAACTATTATTAAAAGAAAGAGAGAACATTAACTGCCATTTTCTCTTAAACTACATCTGCCTGTGTGAACCAAGCAGTAAGCAGGTTTTCTACCTGTGAAACTTTACAGTCTGCTCAGTTGTGTCATTCATAATAAAAGGATTTTTTTCTATATGCTTGTCCAGGGAATACACAGACATCACTAAGTCGAGATTTGTGGTGCTGTTCCTCACACAAAATCCCCACTGTCTTTAAGGATGTTAAATGAGATCACATCATACATCAACACTAAGCAAAGAGTCATCTTCTGTGCATGAATCTATGCGAATTTCCATTCCACAAATGGTTTCAATAAGGCAAATTCTGCAGTAACATAAATTGCTGTCAGATGATAGTGGGAGGACATGGCTGAGACATGAGCATCTCCCCAGGACCTGTGAAACCTTCAGCATCATTTGTTACAGCGAGGAAGACGTATCTGAATATAAGGGTGGGCATTTTATCAGGCTAGGAGAATAAAATCACTTTTGGAACCAGGATTTGTGTTGCCTGATTAGAATGAATTTATTAATGGATTTTAAAAATGTTCTCAGGGAGGTTCTGAGTGAAAGGCACAGGGTGTTTGTGGAGCCGAGGAAAAATGTCTTTCTCCAGCCAAAAACAAGTGAGGTAAGTCAACCTAAGCCAAGACTTCCCCTTTCCCAGAGGAAAGATCTGACTTTTAAGGGAAGATTATGTGGAAGAGAGAGTTTCCTCAGAGCACACAACTCCAGCAGCATGAGGTGACTCATTTTAGTCTGATATAATCACAGACCTTCATGCCAGGGGTTGCTGCAATTCCTTATCCAGGCGCTGGCTGTTTCCTTGCCAAGTCTGTATAGGTTCTGGTGCCAACAGCAAAGGGCAGTGGTTTTCTGGGGGTGAAGCAGGATTTTATATTACCTGTTCCAGTGGGAAGGCAAGGTTACAGCTGCTCTGTTTCCATCTCCTGCACACCCAGCTGCTGGTGGCCAGCCCAGGAGGTCCTGCCTGATGTACCACTTGGAATAGGGTTCATGTCACCTTGGGGGAGACCTGCAAGTGTGTGCTGGGATCAGCAAATGGTGACAAATCACTGCCCAGGGCTTCTTATGGGTACATCAGGAGAACAAACTCCACTGACCACAGTGACAAAAACCCCCAAGCTAACACTCCTCCCTGTTGCTCCCGGCTGCCTTGTAAAGGC